TGGAGGCTGAAAAAGTCTGAGACCTACACTGAACAGACTGGAGACTCAGGAGAAGCAAGGACAGACACAGTTCCAGTCTGAGCCTCAGTCTGAGCACGTCCCAGTTTGAAGAGCACCAGGCAGAGAGTGAACGCTCTCTTACTCAGGTCTTTGTTCCATTCAGGCCCGTGGTGATTTGAATGAGGCTCAGCCTTACCAGGAAACACAGTGGACTCTAGTCTCTGTCTATTGATTTAAATGTTACTCTTATTTAGAAACAGGCCCACTGATACACCCAGAGCAACACTTAGCTGGACATCTGGATGTGCTGTGGCCTGGTCATGTTGACTCCTAACACTGGCCAGGGCACCGCATGTCAGTGTAAACTGAGAGCTGGGATGGAGCCCTCTTGCTCTGCTTTGTCATTGTGCCTCCTCCTCCCACTTTCTCTTCTTTTCTTTGTGATACTGGAATTAAACCCAGGGCCTTTGCACTGAACTACATTTCGAGTCCTTTTTTATCTAAAATTTTATTTGCCCAAAGTGATCTGAGCGTGATGTTTCAGAAGTCTCCAGTGCAGGGTTTGGCTTTGTTCTTACTGTCTTTCCCAAGAGTAGATATTCTAATACGCAGCCTCCCACTGCATGGAGACTGCAGATTGTGGAGCTACTATGTGACTCTGGGTGTTGGCCGACATCCCTGTGGGATATCAAGCCCACTCTCTGTCACCCAGGCTCTCCTCGCCCCATGCATTTCATGGAGATCTTCACAGCTCTTGCCTGGGTGCCTGAGCCTTATCAGATCACTGTCACTGTTTTCCAATCCATCTGGTTCTTACCTTTGTCTGAAGCCTGGACCCTCTGACATGCCCTTCTAGATTCCTTCATTGCCACCTCCACCTCTTCACCATCTTGGTCTCTGCTCACCTTCCTGATACTGTGTTCCCTGCTCCTTTCCCACACTCTGCTCATCCTTCTCCTCTCACTAGAAGTGAATTTTTCTCCATTTCTGCTTCTTCGTCTTCTGTGAAGCTCCTATTCTGATTTCAAAGTCTGCCTTGACTGCTCCTTTCTAGTCATTGCGGTGGCCATGCTTCCAGTCTCCACATCCAGGTGCCTTCTCTGAGTCACTATGGGCACATCTGCTCTCCTTCCACTGGTTCCAGAGCGCCTTAATGGCAACAAAACCCACCCTTCAAATGAACCTGGATAAAAGAATGTGAAATGAATCTTCCAAGAACTATAGAGAGAAACCAATTTGAGGACCTAGAAAAGTCATACAAACACAACTTAGACAGAATGATTCCTGGGTCAGAGAGAACTTGGCAAAGCTATTGTTTATGCAGCACGTAGCATCCTGCAAACCAATCCAGGTGTGAGAGAAATATGTTTCTACGGGTGAATCATTACTCTACTCATCTTCTTCTTAGTGGTTTTCATCATGAATTAGAACATTTAAGGCTTTGAGAAGTCCTGTAATGATGAGCACTGTTGTACCTTGCTGAATGTAGTATTTTTTGAATTTTTATGACTTTATTTTTCATAAATACTATGAAATGATTTTCATATTTTCAATACCTAATGGACCAAAGACATATTGCACAAATAAGATGGGAAATTGGTCTGTACTAACGCTAGCAAAGAATCAGAGGGGCAAGCACTGTTAGTGTCTACTTAAGGGCCATTTGAAGCGGGCGATGACCTTACTCTGGGTCTGGGTTGTCCCGGCAGCAGGTGGCTCCCTCCAGAGAGAGAACACGACATGCTTCCTGGAGCTGATACCACCCAGTCACTTGAGTTTGACAACTAATTTCTCTTGTTCTGTCTGGTCCCTAAACCACCTACCTGATTATAGTTTAGTTTCTCAGGTGAATTCCTCCCATGAAGGAAACAATCTGGTCTGCAGACAGATGTTTAACCCCCTTGCAACTTTATTATGTTGGGAAATTGGCATTCTGGGCTGTACATCAGTCCCCTGTGACCTTGATTAGTGTGACTCCATCTCAGAGATACTGATTGGGTCTTGGTGGAGTGAAGCAAGATCGTATTTCAGAACCTGCAAGGGGGTGGACGGTGTCCTGGCCCTGGCATGAATAACAGTGCAATAACCAGCGTTTATGAAGCACTGTTTCTGTTATCTGTTTCTGTGCAGCAAATCACCTCTTAGTGGCTTAAATCAGAAGCAATCATTCCATTGTTTCCCACTGCTTCTATGGATCAGGAATTTAGGGAGGGCTTGGCTGACAGGAATGGCTGGGCCTGTGGTGAGGGATTGCAGCAGGTCAGATCTCGCTCCCTCCCTGCCTCTGTCTCTGACCTAAGAGTCTTTATTTGTTTGCTATGTCACTGTGTGTACTTCCTTATAATGTGTTGGCCCCAGGATCCAAAAATGAGACCAGCAGGGAGCTGCATGGAGGCTCGACCAACTTTTCTGGTTTGGATTCAGAAATCACATCTCTGCCACTGCCTTTCATTAGTTACAAGTGAGTCGCAGGTCACTGATTCAAAGGGAGGAGAAGTAGATCCCATCTGTGGATGCTTTCAGCCAGTCTTTGCAGTGGCTGCCACCTTACCATGCATGCTAAGTGTGAAGGCAGAATGCTTCAGGTCATTAATCATGCCTTCCTCTTGAACCCAACCCATCTCTGGCTTGAGCCCAAGTATCTTGTCCTTGTAGTGACCCTGCCTGCTACCCATGTCCTCTGGTCCAGATAACAAGGTACGAGTTACCAGTTTATGAACTAGCAAACAAAGGCCCCAAATTCTTACTTTTCTTGAATTTATGGTTGTTTGTTAACTAAATAAAAATGTTGCAGCGAGGCTGACAATGTTGGCACTTTGTCCAGGTGTCCTGGGATCCCTGGTCTTCTGTTTTATGCACCTCCCCTTATGTGTTCCTGAGTTCTCACCCATTGGCACCTGTTGCCTGCCCTTGGGTAACTGGAGCCCATCTGCCCAAGCATCCGGGAATGCAGTTTTTCCCACTGATCCTCAGTGCATGCCTGAGTCCGGTCTGCATTCTCTGGCTGGGGTGCTCTGAGGATCGTATACTCCAGAACTTCCTCATGATGTCAGGTGAGCTACCTTCTGGGGACTCTGTGAAGCCACACATTTGCTTGGCTCTCCCTTCCTCCTCCTGCTCCCTTGTCTCTCTTGGGAATTTCTCTGGGGGCAGCATCTTCAGAATTGGCTGCCATGGAGCCGAGCAAGGGCACCAAGGAGGATAAACAGGAAGAGGAAGCAACTGATGGAGATCACTGCCTACAGGCTCCATCCTTTGCCAGGCTGGGCTTCCCCTATACTTCTGGGAGTAGACCCTCTCTCTGTTGCAAGTGACAGCAGCTGGCTGTCACCCATCAGTCATGAGTGCACAGGTCTAGATTGGGGTTCCCTCCTCAACTCTCTATCTACCTGCCTTCTGTGGACCTAGCATCAGCCTCTTGGGGTGGAGGAAGTGCCCAGGATACTTAAAGGGGTGATTGTGGTTTAAAGGAGTTCCTATCTCCTACACCCTCTCTCTCTGCTCATTTAAAAGTTGCCTCCCATCTGGAGCAGATTGGATCCCACTGAAGTGAGGGTTAAAATCCTTGAGGTCTAGTCCTGGCTCAGCCCCAACTGGCTCCATGGCCCCTTTTCTCATCTGCATGATAGTCTTTGAGATCTCTCCAATTCTACACATCTGTGATTTCTTGGGACGCGTTCAGTGCCTCCGGAGAGCTTATCATCTTGTTAGAGAGGCACGACACAATTAGATGCTTGTATATGACAGACTGCAGCACAAAGCTGAAATCAGTCCAATTAAGAGGAAAAGCACACAGCGCAGCAGACGAGTACAGCCCCTGATTAGTGTATCTGTGGAGCAGACTCTTGAGGCGAGGGCTTGAGGAAGAATTCAAGAAGGGCCTCTGAGAATACTGGTGCTTGGATGGGGAGCGGAGAAAGCCACCACAGTCTTATGCATATAATTGTTACCTGGGTGTGAAATGAGGGTAGAGACAGGGAGAGTAGAGAATGGAGTCTGGGTTATCATTTAATTGCTATTCTGACTCTTAGTGAACACAGCGCCAGTTATAATACACTTGTTATTTACAGGGCTATATTTCTATTCTCCAAAGTTTAACACACATCATTGGAATTCTGACATTCAGAACTGGCTCTCCTGACCCCCTAAGTTTTAATTAATGTAATAACATTACTAACAGAAGCTGTAATTTATCTTTTCCTCGTGTTCACAGAGAAGAAAAAGGCAACTTTGGATACATTTATTTTCCTGGTTCCGATTACCAGTTTGTGTATTTTGGGGGTGAAGAGGTGGGGGAGTCCTGGGTCTGGGTGTCCAGACCTTACTGCTTGTGTCCCGTGGTTTCTGCAGGACAGAGGGTCCTCTTCTGGCTGTGTGCAGCAGCTGTGCTGCTGAACTCCAAGTCGGTTGCATTTTGACATTCAGAAGCAGCGCTTGAGCTAAAGGGCAAGTCCTTCTAGCAAAGTCCTTTTGGCATAAGACAGTGTGTGTGTGTGTGTGTGTGTGTTTCCGGCTTTGGAAGGAATAAGCAATCAGTGATTTAGGTGAGAACTTTCCATGCAATTAACTTCCTCCAGACTAATGCTGGTGCTGAAGGGAACCACTGGGCCAGTCTGCTTAGTAAATATCCAACCCCAGATGTAGAGCAATTCAATGGAAATAATTATATGGGGTCAATTAAGCAGAAACCCGGACCTCCTCCAGTTGACCTATTTGAATCTTTTATTTCTGTGAGCCAGGCTTGCTCAGGATTTAAAGTGCTTTACCTCTGGAAAAGGGAAACCTCTGGGGGTGCCACTGAGTGTGGCTGTTGCTGGAGAGGGTGGCGGCCACTCCCCAGCAAGCACCCTCAGGCTGGCCTCTCAGGATCCTGGGCTAGAGCCCTGGAGGCACCACCTTGTGACCCCATGACCTTAGTCAAGGCACTGAACACTCTTAACATTCTTTTTCATTGTGGGTCCGTTTATATCCCAGAATTAACTGAGAAGACATAATAAATGTTTCATAAGTAGAAACTTTTTATTATGACAGTGGTTATCAACAGAAAAAGGGAGCATTATTGTACCTGTGCCACCTGTAGTAGTCCAGTAGAAAATCTCTATACAGGAAAGCTTGCAGAGGAAGAGTTAATTATGCCAGGCTCCAAACACGCAGAGTTTAAACCAACAAGTGAGTTTATGAAACTGAACAACTGAGGGGGACAGAAGTGCTGGGCAGCAACAGGATCACTGAGGTCCAATGGATCTCGAAGATAGGTTGGCTGGGCCATCAGTACATTTGTGGGTCACTTGTCACACAGGTGGGGTGCACTGGTGAGGACAAGCACGAGGACCACTGTCGGGTTGTAAATGTGTCAGAAGTGGAGTGACATCACGTCTGAAATAACAAGGCAAGAATTCAATTTTTCATGCAATGACAGTGTTTACTGAGAGCTCACAACTTGGCGGAGGTTTCTAAGTTCTTTACGCAGATTACCTACACAGTTGGTTCCATGATCACCTCGACTTTACAGATGCATCCCTTCAGGGGCACATCTGCCGCAGACAGGGAAGGTCACCCACCTCTTAAAGAAGCCCCTTTATGGCGCAGGAGAACACAGATTCACGGAATACCTGACAGCCTGGAAGGGCTTACTGGAAGCCTGGGAGAATCTGGCTTTTACTGTGTTTACCCCATTCACTGAAGGACTATTCATATAGGGTCGTGTGGTCTGTGCCAGGAATTAGGTTTGTGTTGAAGGTATAACAGTAAACAAAAACAAACATACCAAGCTTCAAGGGGAGATGGAGTAGACATACTTGTCCTTTTGCATCTTGCCATGCTACAACAATAGCATCAATAACCCCTGATCATTGTATACAAAATAAAGGTAAAACTCTGAAGGGTGGAAGAAAGGAGCCTGGCAATAGAGTTTAGGACACACGGAGTGACACCTAGTGAGTTTTCTGGGTTTTCTTTTTGTTTCATCATCCCAGACTTGGAAGTGAAGAAGTCAGCAACTGAGAAATGCAATAGGCATGGGCAGTCAAGGTCCTGCTGTCTCCAGCTAAAGGATCGCAGGTCATAGATAATAAGGACTCTACTCCTGCCAAGCACCAAGCACCACGGTGAAGCCTGGATGTGGCCTCCCTGACCCACACCTGCAAAAGTTGTGAGGGACTAAGACTCCTGCACACCTTAGGCTGTAACCAGGCTGCACAGGAAGATGCCAGAGAACATCCTCGGCCCTTCTGGATGGGGGTGGGGGAGACAGAGCAGACAGGGAGGACTTTCCTATCCAGAGGCAAGGAGCCATAGCTGTCCTCCGCCCTTCTGTTATCAGTGAAGGCTATACAACAAGCCATAAGGGGACAGACTCCAGCCAGGGAGGCATCAGCTTGGTGGGGACAGAAAGCCCCATCTTCACCCAATTTTTTAGTTTTTATTTTTGCGATATTGGGAATTGAACACTAAGCCTTTGAACTGAGCTTTAACATTGTATTTTTTTAAAATTTGTCTTATTGGTACACATAATGGTCACATTCATTATCTCAAAATTGTACCTGTGCGTAATATATCTTGATTCCTCTCAGTCTTTTCTTGTTCATTTATTTATTTTTTGAGACAAGGTCATGCTAAATAACTAAGCTTCTTCGGACTGGGCTTGAACTGGTGATCCTTCTACCTCAGCCTTTTAGTGCTGGGGTTATAAGAGTGCGTCACTATGCCCAGCTGAACTTCCACCTGTCTTCGGCAGAACTCTCCAGGGCTATATCAGAAACCCACCAAGACAGGGGGTCCACGTGCAGTACAGAGGCTCATAATACTGTACCCCAACTATTCAGGTTTCAACTAAAACCGTATGTCATGCCAAGAACCATCAAGCTCTCAACCTGAGTGTTAGAAAGACAATTTATAGATACCAACATTGAGAGGACAGGAATGTTCAAATTTCTTGTAAATTTAAAATTTCTTGTAAATATTAAAGCAGTTACTTCAATGAATAATTAAACTATGCTTAAGACAAGTGAAAATAAGAAAGTTCCAGCAAGAAATATGAGATATAAATAAAAACTGAATGGAGACTGTAAAACTGAAACACTCAGGAACTAAAAATGAAAATGTCAAAGGGTAGATTTGACAGCAAAATAGAGAGGACAGACAGCACAAAAAAGACAGAGATAGAAAAGTACTAAAAATTAAAAAAAAAAAAAAGACTGAAATTTCCCCCGTTTGGCAAAGGATGTATCTAAAATAATGTGATAATGATTTCATACAATGGGTATTTGATTACTGAAGTATATATTATTTCACAATGTACATCAAATAATCTAAGTGTATACCTTAAATACATACATCTTGTCAAATATAACTCAAAGGTTAACAAAAAAGAAAAAAAACCCTGAAAAATAACCCTATGCATACTCAAGGAGTTGTACAAATTCCAAAAAGATTAAACCCAAGGATCTCTACAAAAAGACTCATCACCATCAAATTTTTGAAAATGGAACATGAAAAATCTGGAAAGCAGTAACAAAAAAATAACATATTACAAATGGAGAAGCATGACTCAGATTGCTATGGATTTCTCATCCGAAACCATGGAGTTCATAAAGCAGTAGAATGATGTTTCTCAAGAGATAAAGGTAAAGAAATCTCAGCCCCAAATCCGATAGCCAGTGAAAATATCCTTTAGCAATGAAAATATATCTAATTTATTTAAAAATAAAGAGAAACTAACAAGATTTGTCACCAGCAGCCCTATTCTAAATGAATAGCTGCAGGAAATACTCTTTAGAAAGAAAAGAAAAGAAAAGAAAAGAAAAGAAAAGCAAATGATAAAAAAAGAAGAGGTGTCAGAACACCAGGAAGGGATAAAGAACATGATAAACAAAACTGCAGATAAGCAAAATACACGTTTTTTCTTGAATTTTCTAATTTTGTTTGATGACTGAAGCAAAAATTGTTACATTGTTGTACTGGGTGCAAGGAAAATATTGTAGGCAATCTTACTATAAGTGAGGGAAGGCAAAGGGATATAAATAAAAGTAAACTTTTTATGCTTCAAATTGGAAAAATGAAAAGTCAAAAGACTATGATAAGAGTATTATAAATTTTATATAACCTGTAAATGAGTAATCATTTAAAAAGTTGTGTAAGAAAACATGTATACTATAGATAAATCAGAATGGAATTTTAAAAATGCTGTTAACCTACAGGAAGGCAGGAAAAAACTCCAGAAAAATGAAGAACACAGAAAGTAAATAATAAAATGATAGATTAATCTCTAATGTCACTAATTATATTAACTATAAATGGTCTAAATACACAAGAAAAAATGATTGGCAAAGTGTATTAGCAGAAAGGATCCAACTCGGCTATCTAAAAATAACATATTTTATGTGCAACTGTAAAAGAATGGGAGAAGATATCTCAGGCAAACATTAATCAGAAGAGAATGGGTAGCAGACTTCAGAACAAAACAATTATGAGAAGTTGAGACTTTAAGAGTAAAAGGATTGATCTGCCAAGATGACACAGGAATCTTAAATGTGTAAGCATCAACCAATAAAGAGAGAAAGTTCCCGAAGAAAAACTCAATGAAACTGAAGGCAGAAACAGACAAATTCATAACTATAGGAACTTCTCTTGACAACTGATAGAACAACTAGACAGAAAATTAGCAGGTCATAGAACACACCAACAGGACTTACTTGTGACTGATATTGATAGAATTTTTCATCCAGACATAGTGGAATACACTTTCTATTCAAATGATCACTCTGTATTTTAGTGCAAACCTCAGTGTGTTTGAAAAGACTGAACTAAAAGAGAATGTGTTCTACCACAATTAAAGCATACTAGAATTCAGCAAACAGCAAGGTAACAGGAAAATCTCCAAACACTTGGAAACAAAAGAATCTACTGCTATATAATTCATAGGTCAAGGAGAAAGTCTCAAAGGAACTAATAGTATTGAACCACATAATAATGAAAACAGTATATCAATATTTGTGGTATACAGCTAAAATAATGCTGAGAGGGAAACTTATGACACTAAGTACATGTACAGTAAAATCCTTTGAGAGTAACTTGTTCTGTGAATGTTTTGCAACAGGAACAAACATTTCTAGTATATTTTAACTTGATAAATAAGCAATGTCTTGCAAAATGAGTAGTATGTAAAGTTGAATGTCATAGGATCACAACTGAGTCTATGGTTCTCTACCCCTGCCCTCCCCTTCCCCCCGGCTGCCTTCCCCTGCGCGATTATGAGTGATTATCTCCTAACAGGAAGAGGTTATGGAGGAGATCTCTTCTACAGAGGAAGAGGAGAAAAAGGGTGAGGATTCCCTCACTTCCAGTAAGATTAGGAATATGCAAAATGTGGAATACACCACCCAATGAGTAATACTGTAGCAATGTGAGCAGTGAATCTGTTTAACAACAACGTAATGTCACGTTTCTGCAAAGTCCTCAAAAGAAGACAAGGGCAAATGTCATCCTATAGGTTATCTGTTAAAGTTGCATGAAAGGAGATTCCATTGAGCCAATAGAGAGCAGTGACTTTATTAGTTATTTATCCTGTATCATAACCCTCCTTTATCTTGTTTCCCTCACACCAATTAGATTTTCAAAACAAAGTGTAAGTTAACTTATTTTTATTTATACTTTGTATTTTCTTTATTATTTTATATTATATTACTGTACTTTAATTATTTTATATGAGTACTTTTTGGGTTGTGGAATGAATCATATGAATTTCCATGATTTCTTGTGGGACAGTTTGCTTTGACATACAAGTGCTTTGGATTGCAAGCATATTTTTAAAACAAATTATGCATGCAAACCAAAATTTTACTATATTAGAAAAGAAGAAGTCTTAAGTCAATAATTTAAACTCCCTCCTGAAGAACCAAGAAAGAACCTTGGTGGTTTGTCTATCTTGATATCAATGCCATTTTGTCGTGATTGGTGTAGCTTTGTGATAGGTCGTGGGGTTGGGGAGGGCTAGAATCCTAATTTTGTTCCTTTATCCAAGTTATTTAGACTGTTCTGAGTCTTTTGTATTTTTACAGAAATGTAAGAATCAAAATGTTAATTTTTATGAAAAATGATGTTGGCATTTTGATAAGGGATTGTGTTTTCTGATCTTTATTATTTTCTTCTGTTTTGGTTTTTATTGTGTCCTCTATTTCTGATTTTTAAAGGAGAGGTATGAGGATATTTTAAAACCTTTTTTCCTAATAAATGTGCTTGATGTTAAAAAAAAAAGAACCAAGAAAGGACAGACCAAAATAAAACTAAAACAAGCAAAAGGAAGGAAGGAAATAATACAGAAAACAGAAGAAATTAATTACAATAAAAACAAAACAGTAGAATTAGTCAAGAAAACA